CAGAGGCTCATCCCGTGGGAGAACATGAGTCTGTGTTCCTCCAGCACAGCACAGGGCAGAGGGGAAGGAGATAGGAGGCCTGAGCTTTGCTCTCAGCCTGTCAGGAGCACAAGTCTGTGCCCTCGGGGTTGCCCAGGGAGCAGGGAATGTGGGGAGCCCTGCGGGTGCTGGCAGGGAAGAGAAGGAGCCCCGGGATGTACAACGTCACTCACCCCCTTTTCTTCTCCTCATGGAGGCTTGGAATCAAGAAACAAAAGACATGAATGGCATGCACAATTCCTGCTTCCAGTCCCAGCTTCAGCCTGGCTGGGCCTCCTCCCCATGCTTCCCTGCTTCTGGAATATGGTAAGAAGCTGGATCGGACCCAGCCCATGGAGCTGGAGCTCTCTGGATGAAGGCTCAGGCAGGGCAGAGGGTGCAGCATCTCAATCCCAGCACCTACCCCTGCCGTGGGCTGGGTCTGCCACTGGGATCAGCCCTCGATGGAGCCTTCTCGTGGCATCAGGGAAGCAGAGGAGCACCAGAGCTGGCTGGAATTCCATGCCCAGCCATGGAGAAGCTCTTTTGAAGCCCTCAGTGCTTCCCTATTCCTAGAGCACTTCCCTGCTCATCTCTCAGAACAGTTCCTTGCATCTACCACAGCCAGGATGGTGAGACAGGAGAGTTTTGGTAGGAATCTGTTGTTCCAAGGGGACATGCAGCAAGGAAACCTGCAGGAAGGGCTGTGGGCACATGGGATGTTCTGTGGGCTGTAGGGAGGGACAGCATCCAAGGAAAACAGGGCAGAGACCACTGGCCAGATCTTCCTTTGGGAGTCTGGAACGTGCCTTTCACTGACACCACATCCCTTGGGAAGGAGAGTGAGCTCTGAGGCATGGGTGTGCTGATCCATATGGAAACTCCCTCTCCACAGGCACAGCCAGAGAGCCAACCACCAGCAAAGCATGGGAAGAGGAATAAATCCATTTTCCAGGGGGGGTGTAGGGTGGGACTGGCTCCATCCCAATCCCTGATCCACAGGGTAGGGACAGACACTACAAGCCCTGGAGAACACGTGTGCTCAGCTCAGCCACTGCCTCCAAATCTCTTCTGGCAGACATGGGATTGTCACTCCCAATCCCTCCCCAGGACATGGCACAGGGTTGGGAATGTTCTCCAAGCGTGGAAGGAGGAATCCAGGGACCTGTGCTGGGTTTGGACACAGGGAAGGGGAAAAAGGGGAAGAAAGGAGCTGTTCCAGCTCTGCTCCAAATGGTTCCTGGTAAAGATAGAGCCTTTGGCTTGGGAATAAAGGTCTGGAGGCACCAGGAGCAGGTCAGGGTGGGGACCAAGACAGAAGGCTCAGGATGAAATAACCCATGGCTGATTCCAACCCTGGAATGCTGAGATCTCTCCCCTCAGACTTGTCCCAGCCCTGCAGGGTCTGGCTCTTCCCAAGGAGCCTGTGGAGCAGGGAGCAAGAGAGGGCAGGGAAAACCCTGTTCCCTTGGGGATGGGAGGTGGGACTAGCTCCATCCCAACCCCTAATGCACAGGGTAGGGACAGACACGTGGGCTCAACCCAGTAACTGCCTTCACATCCCTCCTGGGACACACAGGACATCCATGTGCTCCCTGAGGTGTCAGAAGGGCTGGGAAGGCCAACACAGGGAGATGAGGGAGGGGTGGGAGAGGAGAGGCTCTCAGGGAACACAGGAACAGAGGGAACAGGGGAAGATGGAGCTGCAGCTGGAACTGTGGGCAGGGTGTGTAGTGCCAGCAGGACCTGCAAGCAGCTCTGCATGGGCTCAGTGCAGTGCCAGGAGGCTCCGGGGGCAACACACCACCTGGAGATCACCAGGGAGCAAACCTGGCAGCAAACCTGGCAGAGTGGCATCTGCCCAGAGGGGAAAACCTGAGGCTGCCAGGAGTGTGGGAGAGCAGTGAGAGGAGAGGGGTGAGGAATGTGAGGAGTGTGGTGAGGAAAGTAAGGAGTAGGGAGGGTGGGGAGCAGGATGAAGAGTGAGGCTGAAGAGCAGGGGGAAGAATTCGAGCAGCAGAGAGGAGAGGGGTGAGGAGAGGAGCGAGGAAAGGAGCGGGGAGAGGGGTGGGGAGAG